GAAGCGTGATCATCGGACAGTCAAGCGTTTCATTCTATATAGTCAACAGGGTCACAAGAAGCGTGTGGAAAAACCAAGGCGTAAAATAACTGCCCATGAACTGAGAAAAGTCAAGCGTGCAGCTGCCAAGATGCCACTTGCCACCAGTTTGGCCATATGTCAGAGCTGCAACATCACTGGAGTGCCCAAAAGCACAAGGTGTGCAATACTCAGAGACATGACCAAGGTAAGAAAGGCTGAAAGATGACCACCACTGAACAAGACACACAAGCTGAAACGTCAAGACTGGGCCAAGAAATATCTCAAGACTGATTTTTCTAAGGTTTTATGGACTGATGAAATGAGAGTGAGTCTTGATGGGCCAGATGGATGGGCCCATGGCTGGATTGGTAAAGGGCAGAGAGCTCCAGTCCGACTCAGACGCCAGCAAGGTGGAGGTGGAGTACTGGTTTGGGCTGGTATCATCAAAGATGAGCTTGTAGGGCCTTTTCGGGTTGAGGATGGAGTCAAGCTCAACTCCCAGTCCTACTGCCAGTTTCTGGAAGACGCCTTCTTCAAGCAGTGGTACAGGACGAAGTCTGCATCCTTCAAGAAAAACATGATTTTCATGCAGGACAATGCTCCAACACACGCGTCCAAGTACTCCACAGTGTTTCTGGCAAGAAAGGGTATAAAAGAAGAAAAACTAATGACATGGCCTCCTTGTTCACCTGATCTGAACCCCATTGAGAACCTGTGGTCCATCATCAAATATGAGATTTACAAGGAGGGAAAACGGTACACCTCTCTGAACAGTGTCTGGGAGGCTGTGGTTTCTGCTGCACGCAATGTTGATGATGAACACAAACACTGACAGAATCCATGGATGGCAGGCTTTTGAGTGTCTTTGCAAAGAAAGGTGGCTATACTGGTCACTGATTTGTTTTTGTATCGTTTTTGAATGTCAGAAATGTATATTTGGGAATGTGGAGATGTTATATTGGTTTCACTGGTAAAAATAAATAATTGAAATGGGTATATATTTGTTTTTTGTTAAGTTGCCTAATAATTATGCACAGTAATAGTCACCTGCACACACAGATATCCCCCTAAAATAGCTAAGACTAAAGACAAACTAAAAACTACTTCCAAAAACATTCAGCTTTGATATTAATGAGTTTTTGGGTTCATTGAGAACATGGTTGTTGTTCAATAATAACATTATTCCTCAAAAATACAACTTGCCTAGTAATTTTGCACTCCCTGTAGAGAAGAAAACCGTCTCAACCCCGACAGCTTTCACTTCACAAACATCCATTGAGGACACCCTCTACAACACAACTAAATACCCCACAAGCTCTCGAAGACTTAAAGAAATAACAAACGCCATTGCTTTTTTCCTTGCCAAAGACCAGTGCTCCAACGACACCTGCTGAGTGGACGCTGACACGTTTGGCTGCCGCTGCTCTCTGGTCTTTCCTATCCGCTTTTAACTTATATGGTTTTTACATGATTTTATTTTTATCTGTTTTTATTTTTTATCTGTTTTTAATCTCTAATTTGGATGTCGGTATTTTTCATTAATTAGTTGTGTGTACCAGTGGCCTCTAGGTCCCTGTACCACCTGGACAACGCCCTACCTACCTCATCCACACCTTGCCATATATCTACTCTCGGCTAAGATGCTTACTAGCTGCAGACTGTTTGGCTGGTTTGTTCTCACCTGGGCTGTCCTCTCCATTTTCCTTCATCCATCATCGGCACTGATCCAGTATCTGTCATCTGAGCTTTTCCGGCTCCGTGCTCACCTGGGGGTCCCCCCACCTGCGGCTCTCCTCTTGTTCCCGGACATCGCTCTCAAACCCCGCAGCAAATATGTCCATCGTGGGTCCCGGCGCAACTTTATCCATGATGACCCCCACTCAATAAGATGCATCTGGTCCACATCCCGTCGCCCTTCACACAACTCCATTTCTGGTAACTCCGAGGCTGTCCATCGCAACTTGTTAACCCCTCTCGCTAGTCCGGCTAACCCCAAACCAAAGCATGCTAACTCCACCATTAACTCTGGCCTAATAAACATCCGCTCGCTCACGGGCAAAGGTCTTCTCATCCACGATCTCATCCACAATCATGTGGCAGCAGCCTAATGACTTTATAAATCTTAACGAATCTACTCCCTCAGACTTTGTTTACATCTCACAGCCTCGCTCCACTGGTAGGGGCGGGGGTCTCGCGATGATTCACTGCAAATAGCTGAAGATCCTCCGAGTGTCTGCTCCATCCTTCCAGTCATTTGAATGCAGCGCCTCCCAGCTCTCTGGCCCCACCCCTAACATCATCTGCAGAGTCTACCGACCTCCTAAGCCAAACAAGGACTTTATGGGTGATTTTTCTGCCCTCCTCACTCATCTATTCCTGTTCTCTCCCAATATCGTAATTCTTGGGGATTTCAACATTCATATTGATAATGGAAATATCCCCCCTGGCCAGAGACTTCCTTTCCGTCCTGGATAATTTTGATCTCCAATAGTACATCAGCTTTCCCACCCTCTGTAAAGGTCACATTTTGGACCTGGCCTGCTGCTCTGGGGTGACCCCCTCTGGTTTGAAAGCAGAGTTATTCCCCCTCTCTGACCAAAAACTCATCTCCTTCACTGTAAACCTACCCATGGACAAAATCTCCACTACTAGGACCATCACCTTCAGGAACATCAAGGACATTAACATTGATTCTTTCTCCGCCGCTATCCGGGACCTTCCTCATCCGCATGACCCCATGTCTCCTGATGGCCTGGTTTCCCATTACAACCACTACCTCTCTGACCTTTTGAATTCAACTGCTCCTGAAAAACACCGTACTGTCTCCTTTTCCCACTCAGCCCCATGGTTCACTCCTGCTCTTCGCCAGCTAAAAGTAAAAGGACGACAACATGAGCGCCTCTACAAAAAAACTGGTCTCACGGTTCATGAAGAAATGTATAAAAATCACATCCTTTTCTACAAAGAATCCATCACAGCTACTAAATGCTCCTATTATGCTGCTCTAGTCTGTTCAAACTCAAATCCTAGGTCTCTTTTTTCTCTTAACAATGTTACCCGCCCCCAGACTCACTTCCTTCTTTCTTTTACTCTGTTGATTTCTGTAATTCAATTTCGTCTTTTTTCGATCAAAAAACCTCCACTATCCACCAACAGCTGGACACCAAACAATCTACTTCCTTTCCAATAGAACTCCATCTTTCCTCTCTGTCTCCCATTTATCCTCTTTCAGCTTTTTCGATTCCCTCCATCACTGATATTTCTGACCTGATTCACAAGTCCAAACCCTCCACCTGCAGACTTGACCCTCTTCCCACTTCTCTCGTCAAAGCCGGTCTCCCTTCCTTACTCCCTTTAATCTCATCTATAATCTATTCTTCTCTCACAACTGGTTCTGTTCCCTCAGCATTCAAAACAGCTTCTGTCACACCTATTCTAAAAAAGCCTGGCTCTGATCCCAATAACTTCAATAACCTTCGACCAATCTCTAATCTACCTTTCATCTCTAAAATCCTTGAGAAAGTTGTTGCTTCTCAGCTCATCTCCCACCTCAATCATAACAACCTTTTTGAACAGTTCCAGTCTGGTTTTCGCCCTCGACACAGCACAGAAACAGTTCGTTAAAATCACAAATTACCTTCTCATGGCAGCTGACTCCGATTTTCTTTCTCTACTCATCCTTCTTGATCTTTTTGCAGCTTTCAACACCATCTCTCACTCAACCCTTCTTAACCAGTTAGCTTCTCTTGGTATCACTCACACTGCTCTCGCCTGGTTCTCCTCCTATCTCACTGGCCGATTTCAGTCTGTTCAATTAAAATCCTTTTCTTCTCACCCTGTTGCTGTTTCTGCCGGTGTTTCCCAGGGCTCTGTCCTTGGACCTATCTTATTTATCATCTACATTCTTCCACTTGGCCATATCTTTCGCAAATACAAGATAAATTTCCACATCTACGCAGATGACACTCAAATCTATATCTCCTCTCAGCCCGATGCTATCTTCCCTCCAGTCTCCCTATCCACCTGTCTCCTTGAGATACAATCGTGGTTCTCTTCAAACTTCCTGAAACTCAACAGCAATAAAACCGAAATTCTACTCATAGGCAAACCCTCCACGCTGAACATATCCCCCAGCATATCAGTTAACATAGATAATTCCTCCATCCTTCCTTCCCCCCATGTAAAGAGTCTTGGAGTCATCCTTGACAGCACTTTATCATTCAAAGCCCACATCAACAACATCATTTGCTCAGCCTACTTTCATTTACGCAACATCAACCGACTCCGTCCCTCTCTCACTCCTCATGCTACAGCCATCCTTGTACACAGCCTAGTCACTTCTAGGACTGACTACTGTAACTCTCTCCTTTTTGGTCTCCCCTATAAATCCCTCCATCGGCTCCAACTTGTCCAAAATGCTGCTGCACGGATCATCACTCGTACCCCCTATAGAGATCACATCAGCCCTGTTCTTCAGCGTCTCCACTGGCTGCCTACTGAACACAGAATCTCATTCAAAATCCTGCTTCTCACCTACAAACGTATCCACTGTCTCACCCCTCCTTACCTCTCCGATCTCATCCATGTTGCTGTCCCATCTCGCTCCCTCAGGTCTTCCTCTGCCATTCACCTTGTGGTTCCTCCTGCTCATCTCCTCACCGTTGGAAACAGAGCTTTCAGTCGCTCCACTCCTCGATTCTGGAACTCACTTCCTCCTGACATTCGAAACACTGACTCCCTCCTCTCATTCAAATCCAAACTCAAAACTCACCTGTTCAACCTGGCTTACACTCTCTAGCCCACAAACCCTTTACTCTGTAATTTATATCATACTTTTTGTAATTCTATTGTTTAAATTACCTTATTCTTATTTGTGTGTAAGTTTTAACATGTTTTGTGAGGTGACCTTGGGTTTTGAAAGGCGCCTATAAATTAAATGCATTATTATTATTATTATTATTATTATTATTATTATTATTAACACCGTAGCTAATGTGGGATTCAAGAAACTTGTCGAGACTTTAGATAAAAGGTACGACTTGCCATCTCGAAATCATTTCAGTCGAGTGTGTCTCCCAGCTCTTTATGAGTGTCACCAGGGTGTTCTAAAGGACCTTGCTAATGCTAAATATTTCGTCACCACTACCGACCTGTGGTCAAGCCAAACAATGGAACCGTATATAAGCCTCACGGTTCATTTTATAGATGCCGATTTCAACATGGAAACTAGATGTCTACAGACGTCTTATTTCCCAGAGGATCACACAGGGCAGAACATCGCTGCTGGACTGAGACAAGCGATAGCTGCTTGGAACCTAGATGAGGGGAAACTCATCTGCATGACCACAGACAACGCCCGCAACGTAACACTGGCTGCTCAACTCAACGGCTGGATGAGGCTTCAGTGCTTCGGACACAGACTCCATTTGGCCATAGGTAAGCTGGATATGATTTACGGATGTAATTGTTAGAATTTAATGACAAATTACCATACAGTGTTTGCAACCTCACGCTATGGATGTCTAAAAAAACCTTTATGAAAATGCAGAGGCCATCACATATTTATTGTTTAATTGTTTACAGTCATTACCTACCTTTTTTGATTTTTCCCACCTAAGTGTGATATTTGAGATTTTGATTCATGAGTGATATAACTTGCTTTGACATTTGATTCATTCTTTAACTAAAGGCCAGTAGTTTAAGTAGGTGGAAAAGAGTTCTTTATATTTAGTCTGTTTATTTTTATACAGTGTATTTTTGTACTTTTCAGTTGAACTTTGTATCTCAAGACAAAGTTACTGTTTGTTTAGTAATTTATTTATTCAAAATGAATCCGTTATGAATTAATTATATGAATGAATACGTAATCTGAAAGATATTCTTTCTCTCTCACACACACAAATGATAGTCCTATCTGTGGATTGGATTATATATATACATTATAACAAATAAATTAAAATTAATATCTTAACAGAATGTTCTTTTTTTCCCAATCACAGAGAGAGCCATGAAAGATGCTAGGATTGATCGGGCAATTGGGGTCTGCAAGAAGGTGTTCAGCACCTTCTCCTACTGTTGGAAAAAGAAGAAGGAGCTGGCCAAGGCGCAGAAGGCCCTGAGTCTGCCTGAACACTCACTAAAGACTGAGTGTCCAACAAGATGGGGTTCGAGTCATGCAATGGTTTCCAGAGTCCTCGAGCAGCAGAAGGCTATTGCCCATGTCCTCTCTCAAGACAGGGGAACCCGGCACTTCATCCCCACATGGCAGGACATTGATGACCTTGAGCAAGACCCTGGGCCCTCTGGTTGATTTCACCGATGCTCTTTCTGGTGAAAAATATGTGAGTGTGTCCTTGGTGAAACCATCACTACATCTCTTCAATAAGTCAATCCTGGCAGACCAAAATGATGACACAGATCTTTCCAAATCAATCAAGAAAAAAATTCTGGACAACCTAAATGAAAAATACAATGGCCCACCAACCCAGGAGCTGCTAGACATTGCCACTGCCCTAAACCCGAGGTTCAAGATGAAGTACAGCAGTGAAGTCAGCCAGGAGTCAGTGAAAGCCAGATTGACAAGAGAGATGAAGGAGATGACGGTAATAATTCTATTCTATTCTAATATAAATTATAATATACATTTATTCAGTTTGTGTGTAGTAAAATCATAATTTAATTTGAAGCTTTAATGTTAAAATCATAGTTGTACTACACAGACAAACATGTTTTTTTCTTTCACACTCTGACCTCTAATTTTTCCCTTAAAGGAGACTCCAGTGATGCAGATGCCTGCTGAATCTGATGACCCAAAAGAAGCAAAGAAGAAGAGGAGGAAGAAGGGCCTCGGCAGTTTCTTCAAGGTCCCTGAGGACACTTCTCCAGGTGGTGCAGGGCCTGCTTTGCATCCAGATGAGGCCATAGCCTCACGCCGGGGACACACCGGCCGCGGAAGCGCAGCGAAGCGCTGCAAAAATGGGACCGCCTTCATTCGGCGCCCTTGTTAAGCTATTCTATAGACCACATGGGCCGCCGAAGCGCCGCGAATTGCCTCGCGCCGGCGCTCCAGCCCGCGCCTTGCAGTGATCATTTCGGCATTGGCTCTATTTTTTTCGCGAGCCGCGAGTGAATCGCGTCAATTCTGGCAGGAAGTCAAACCTAGACATAAGAGGCAGGCCGGTAAAGTTAACAAAATAAAACATTTCAAAATAAAATTCCGCAAAAGTCAAATGTGTTCGTAATCAGACACTGCAGAAAACACACACACACACACACACACACACACACACACACACACATTGAACTTGTGTGCGTGTGTGACCACGTGAAGGGGTGTGTGGTTTTGGGTGTCTTTTCACCGGAGCAAACAGGACAGAGAGGCAGAAAGTCTGAGGCAAGCAGTTAAGATGGATGACTTTAAATTAATTATGGGAGTTGAGAAACACAAGGAGCTGTACACCCCCCGAAAAACTTGGTTATTTAAGTACCCATTTTGGAGGAAACTGCTAGGATACAGCTGCAGAATTGGAGCGGGTTCCAAGAGATTCAACTGGCAGAAACGACTCATACCATAGGTACGTACACACACACACACACACACACACACACACACACACACACACACACACACACACACACACACACACACACACACACACACACACACACACATAGAGGAAAAGAGCTGAGAAAAGGCAGAGAGGAAATGGAGGACACCAAGTGTTTAAAAGAAAAACTACAGCTGAGCCGAGGCGTGCCTCGACTGGGGCGCATCTGATCTGAACTGAGGAGCGGCGAGCAGCGGCCGAATTTCGTGAGCGATTCGCTTCTCGGGGCTTTGCAGCGCTTCCACGGCCGGTGTGTCCCCGGCATTAGAGCTGCAGGCCTACCTCCAGGCAGCGACTCTTGACACTGAGGAAGACCCCCTGGAGTGGTGGAAGCAATCCCCGAAGCTCTTTCCAAAGTTGTCCCTCCTTGCGAAGAAATATCTTTGCATCCCAGCCACAAGTGCCTCTTCGGAAGGGGTCTTCAGCACAGGTGGCAATATTGTCACCTGTCTGCGTGCATCTCTGACGCCAGATCATGTCAATAGGCTTGTCTTTCTGGCTAAAAACCTTACATAAAGAAAGAGTGTAAAAGTAAAGGACTTGAGCATGCACATTTGTTTTCTATTTTAGTTTTTAAAGATCAGTAGTTTAAGTCGTGGAATTAATTTCATGGCTAAATGTTCTTTATATTTATTCTATTTTCATACACTGTACTTTTCAGTTGTTGTTGCACTTTATATTTTATATTTCAAGACAAAGTTACTATTTGAGTCCTTTATTATGTATACAGAATTGTTTACAATCAGTGGTGCCTTACTGGATTTTCTTTCCCAGGTACCACACACTAAGATTTACATACCTCAAAGTAACGTGTGATGTTTGACCTTGATTCATGAAGGATGACTGAAAATAAATAGCTTTTACATTTCATTTTTTTTTTTTACTATTGAAAGTAGTTTCAGTAGGTTGTGGAAGTTCATGGCAAAATGTTCTTTATATATATATATATTCTATTTTAATACAGTGTGTTTTTGTACATTTCAGTTGTTGTTGCACTTTACACAAAGTTACACTTTTAGTTTGGGAGAATTAAAAGTCAGTTTTGCTAAATGTCTGTAAAGCTACAGATGATAAATGTAAAAAAGTCAATGTTATGTTCAATAGATGACTTTAATCAAAGTTACTGAATAATTGTGTTAAATAATCGAGATATCAATTTCATTCAAAATAATCGTGGTTATCATTTGCCATAATCGTGCAGCCCTAACCCCTTAAGAAACCCGGTCTTGATATCTCAGTATTATCAAATCATCGACCTATTTCTACGCTGCTATGTCTTTCTAAGGTTCTTGAGAAATAACAAGTTTAAGAAGTTTTTCAATCAGCTTTTAGAGCAAATCATAGTACTGAAACTGTGCTTGTGAGAGTGTTCAATGATATTTACCAATATACTGATGTGGGTGACAGTCTTTTATTACTCTTAGATCTGACCGCTGCTTTTAGGGGGCATCTTTAGGAAATATGAGCTTGACTTCCATCTTTATGCTGATGACTGTCAGGTCTATGCTCCTGTTAAAGCTAAGGATTTAGATCTGAGTTGTCTTCGTGAGGTTAATAATTGTGGATGGGTTGTAATTTTCTCCAGATTAATGAGTCTAAGACTGAGTTTATTATGTTTGCACCAAATGGTGCTCCTGTAGTTACTCAGTCCCATATGATGCAAAGGATGTTGTGTCTAATTTGGGTGTTAAGAATGATTCTCAGCTTAAATTTGATGTTCAAGTCAATAATGTGGTTCAAGTATGCTTTTTTCACCTAAAGAATCTTTAAAAGTCTTTTTGATGAGGAATCGTTTTGAGAAGCTTATTCACGCATTTAATGCATTTTTGTTAAGACTACTGCAATAGTCTTTACTTGGGTGTTGATCATGGATGTAGCCCGTCTGCTAGGCTGCAGCCTGTCTTTAGACTGGCTCTTCTCGATTTGATCATATCAGTCCAGTTGTTGCCTCTCTGCATTGGATCCCAGTTCAGTTCTGTGTTGAATTTAAGATTTTGGTTCTATACCATACCATACCACCTTTATTTATATAGCACTTTAAAAACACAGCCATACGGCTGACCAAAGTGCTGAACAGTCGCACAATAATAGAGATAAAAACATAAAACAGTACTATAAAATACAGCCAACAATAAAAAAAAGTAAAAAAAAAAAAAAAAAAAAACAAGGGTAAAATAGTGTGTCTTTAATCTAGACTCAAAATCTGCCAAGGAGGATGCCAGTCGAAATGTGACTGGAAGTTCGTTCCACAGTTTAGGACCGGCAGCAGAGAAAGCTCTTTGGCCGCATGATTTATAACATGCTTTTAGGACCTCAAGGAGCAACAGGCTGGAGGACCTGAATGTTGTTCTGGTCTGCAAATGTTTAAATGGCCTTGCTCCTAGCTCTTTATCTGGAATTCTAGTGCCATATGTCCCATTTTGTGGATTAAGGTCAGCTGACCTAGTGAGCAGAATTAACTGTCATCACAAGCTGCTGATCTAGCAGCATGATGCTCATTATTTTATGGGTTACAGACGAGTGTTGATGCTCTGTGTATTTATTTCTGCAGCGAGCCTTACAATCTCACTTCTTTCCACCCACAGTTTCTTCTTAAAACACGTATTACATTTACCGTTTTGACGCATTTTAATGAGCTTCCTTTGCGCCGTGATTTCATTGTAGGATACAAACTTTACAGCACTCTCATGGAGTAAAGGTTCGGCAGATATGTTTGTTTACATTTTTGCCCCGTCTACAGTGTTAGGGAAAGGAAGGGAGGGGCTGACGCGATGCTGCTTACAGAGTATCTCTAGGCTCCACAGTAGTAGCAACGGACGGCTGGTTTGACCGGCTCTGAGAGGTGTTAAGCAGAATTTGCAAATAGCGTTTTTTTTCCCTTCTACCAATCGCATAGTGATGTCTGGACTTAAAAGCAACTCATTAGATTCATAGTTATTTGTTAAAGTAATGCATTACCATAAATAGTAATGTGTTTACCAACATTGGTTATGTATATTACTGATTGCAAAAACACCCCTAGGTCTTTTGTCTTGTCTTTTTACTGAATATTTTTCTTTTATATATTTCTGCTTGGTTCACTGCAGTTTCAAGGAAGAGAGAAGAGATGGATGAGAAACCTCTGCTCTTACATTTCCACAACCATCAAATGAAAGACGGAGGTGTCCCAACCAGCAGCTTAGCTGGGCAGATGGCAGCAAAAGTTGGTGGAGGAGCAGAAACTATCAAGAACCTAGATCTGGACCCTAATGAAAAGACATCCAATTCTTCAGAGATTGAAGTTAGTGGAGAAGATGAAGATGATGTGAATCTAGACTCTGAGCGTTCATACTCTGGGCCTGAAACTGGAAACGGAGACCATGGCTGTAATGAGAACAAGTCTTCAGAGTCAGATATTAAGACAGTCAGCAAATCATTTAGCTGCCCTGTGTGTGGTATACGGTTCCTCCACAAGTGGTTTCTTCAGGAACATGTGAGAGTGACAAGTCATTCAGCAGTGAAGTCTTCAGAGTGTTTGGTTAATACAAAATGTGTGAAAGAGAAGCAACATGGAGGGTCATGTAGAAAAGTCCAAAAACAACCAAAATCATTTAGTTGTGATGACTGTGGAAAAAGATTTGGCCAAAAGTCCAAATTAACCTATCATATGAAAGGCCACACCGGGGATAAGCCTTTTGCCTGTAAGCTCTGTGGATACAGATGTACCAAAAAGGCAAGTTTAAACACACACATGAGAGTCCACACAGGAGAGAAGCCTTTTGCCTGTGAGCTCTGTGGATACAGATGTACCAAAAAGTCAAATTTAAATGATCACATGAGAGTCCACACAGGAGAGAAGCCTTTTGCCTGTGAGCTCTGTGGATACAGATTTACCCAAAAGTCAAATTTAAATGATCACATGAAAGTCCACACAGGACAGAAGCCTTTTGCCTGTGAGCTCTGTGGATACAGATGTACCCATAAGGCAAGTTTAAACACACACATGAGAGACCACACAGGAGAGAAGCCTTTTGCCTGTGAGCTCTGTGGATACAGATGTACCAAAAACTCACATTTAAATGATCACATAAGAGTCCACACAGGAGAGAAGCCTTTTGCCTGTGAGCTCTGTGGATACAGATGTACCCAAAAGTCAAATTTAACCAAACACATGAGAGTCCACACAGGAGAGAAGCCTTTTGCCTGTGAGCTCTGTGCATACAGATGTACCAAAAAGTCACATTTAAATGATCACATGAGAGTCCACACAGGAGAGAAGCCTTTTGCCTGTGAGCTCTGTGGATACAGATATACCAAAAAGGCAAGTTTAAACTATCACATGAGTGTCCACACAGGAGATAAGCCTTTTGCCTGTAAGCTCTGTGGATACAGATGTACCAAAAAGGCAAGTTTAAACTATCACATGAGTGTCCACACAGGAGAGAAGCCTTTTGCCTGTGAGCTCTGTGGATACAGATGTACCAAAAAGTCAAATTTAAATGATCACATGAGAGTCCACACAGGAGAGAAGCCTTTTGCCTTTGAGCTCTGTGGATACAGATTTACCCAAAAGTCAAATTTAAATGATCACATGAAAGTCCACACAGGACAGAAGCCTTTTGCCTGTGAGCTCTGTGGATACAGATGTACCCACAAGGCAAGTTTAAACACACACATGAGAGTCCACACAGGAGAGAAGCCTTTTGCCTGTGAGCTCTGTGGATACAGATGTACCAAAAAGTCACATTTAAATGATCACATAAGAGTCCACACAGGAAAGAAGCCTTTTGCCTGTGAGCTCTGTGGATACAGATGTACCCAAAAGTCAAATTTAACCAAACACATGAGAGTCCACACAGGAGAGAAGCCTTTTGCCTGTGAGCTCTGTGCATACAGATGTACCAAAAAGTCACATTTAAATGATCACATGAGAGTCCACACAGGAGAGAAGCCTTTTGCCTGTGAGCTCTGTGGATACAGATATACCAAAAAGGCAAGTTTAAACTATCACATGAGTGTCCACACAGGAGATAAGCCTTTTGCCTGTGAGCTCTGTGGATACAGATGTACCCAAAAGGCAAGTTTAAACTATCACATGAGTGTCCACACAGGAGATAAGCCTTTTGCCTGTGAGCTCTGTGCATACAGATGTACCAAAAAGTCAATTTTAAATGATCACATGAAAGTCCACACAGGAGAGAAGCCTTTTTCCTGTGAGGTCTGTGGATACAGATGTACCAAAAAGGCAAGTTTAAACACACACATGAGAGTCCACACAGGAGAGAAGCCTTTTGCCTGTGAGCTCTGTGGATACAGATGTACCAAAAAGTCAAATTTAAATGATCACATGAGAGTCCACACAGGAGAGAAGCCTTTTGCCTGTGAGCTCTGTGGATACAGATGTACCCAAAAGGCAAGTTTAAACACACACATGAGAGTCCACACAGGAGAGAAGCCTTTTGCCTGTGAGCTCTGTGGATACAGATGTACCCAAAAGGCAAGTTTAAACAAACACATGAGTGTCCACACAGGAGAGAAGCCTTTTGCCTGTGAGCTATGTGGATACAGCTGTCCCCAAAAGGCAAGTTTAAACAAACACATGAGAGTCCACACAGGAGAGAAGCCTTTTGCTTGTGAGCTCTGTGGATACAGATGTAACCATAAAGCAAGTTTAAACACACACATGAAAGTCCACACAGGAGAGAAGCCATTTGCCTGTGAGCTGTGTGGACAAAGATTTAGCCGAAAGGCAAATTTAAAAAGACATACGAGCATCCACAAAAGGCTTGAGGGACTTATTTAACAACAGTACTTCCAAATGTACTATTTAGTTTTTTTACAACCTTAATATTAGTCTTGTACCTCTGCTCAACTATCTTTGTGCAAGTCCATACTCGGCCCTTGAGCCACCTCCCCTTTTCATTTTCATTTCCAAATCTCCTTTGTTTTTTAAACTCAGACCTTAACCAAACATTTGAGATGTTCATTCATGAATTCTGAATACAAAAAAAATTACTTAAAGATTAAGAAAAAACTGTTATTCCCTCCTGTATTTAAGAAACAGACAATATAACAGGCACATGATTGTTTTAGTACATAACCCACTGCAATTTAAAGCTGTTAGATACCAGTGACGTCTGCTTTAAACAATTTATCTGTATATAAAGTAATAGCGTACAATGTTGTAATAACTGCAGCTTAAAAATAATGTGTCTTTATTCATTTGGAGCCCTTAAGAAGAAATCCCACCTTAAAGGCTGTGGAGAGACATCTGGGTCTGTTGTCAAGAAGTCATAAATTACAAGCAGCTCTGTGGAGACTCCATTCTCCAACATTAGCATTTTGCTATTCTAAGCAGGCTTACCCCTGCTTTCCACAGGAGCCGTCAGCAGCACGTTACTGCAGCAGCACGTCATTGCTGCTGATAGGAACCGCTGTGGTCAACAGAACCTTTTCCACCGGAGCCATCAGCAGCGCGAATCGTGCACGTCTCAGGAGCAGCATGTAGCGGCCCTTACGCGCCGGTTCTATTTTCTATGCGCAACGCTTCTGAAACGGGTCAAGTTCGACATTTTTGGGGAAGGAAAGACAGGAAATTGGACGCGGAAACGGAGCGAAGCTCCCGAGATTTTCAGAATAAAGAAATGTACTGCCTTCCGGTAGCTTTACTTTTAAAAAATGTTACTAACTGTGCGGCCCCGTGAGAAGTTATCACCTAGCTAGCGATCTCCTTTGTTTTTCAGGTCCGTATTGGCGATTATAAAACGGACAGAACATTAGGGCTGTAGCGAAGCCTCGACGACATCGACGGCTCGATTCTAAAAATTTGTCGACGTCAGATCCGGAAGTCGACGCACCGCGTCCACTTGTTGCATCCCCAGGAAATTGTAAATAGAGGAGGAAACTGCCCGTTTTTCCTCTAGTTCGCCCGCTTCTCCGCCTTCACTAACATCTCCGCCAAATAGTGAAGACCCGGAACAATGTCCGTCCACTACTAGATTATTTTCCTGTGTTTCCCACCTTCATCTCCCGGCAACGGACAACAACTTCCGGGGTCAGATGCGCTGCTTCGTCGTTACCGCAGATGTAGGACATTACCGGGAGCATTTCTCCATTAAGGAGCTTCTTTCAGACATTCGGAAAGCTGTTTTGGTGGTAGCAGTCTCTCCTCCGTGCTGGTCTGTTTGCTGCTGGGTGTTTTTGTTTTATTTAAACTTGGTAACTTGAACTTAATGTTGGTAAAGCTACTGTTAGCATTTTCGCTAACAGCTTCTTGCGTTAGGATAAGTTGTTACGTTTTGGTTTAGAGTTCATCTTTTTTGTGGTGCAGATCTCCCTTTTATTACATTTAGAGTGTTGTGGGTTTTCGGTTTAGTGTAAATTATCATCTTGAGTTTGGTTTAACCACCCAGTTTAGTGTTTTGACTTTTGGAGATCCTTATTTTGGTCAAGAACCCAGTAATCTTTGCCCTAACCCTGTACCAGAATTTTTAGAGATGCTGTTGCAGAGTTATAAGCAGTGAACAGATGCTGGAAAGACAGAACCACTTCTGGGCTGCATGGTTCTCCACCGGTGTACCGATGCTTGTATTAACATGGACTAGATTGTAATAAACCGGTTATCTTTTTTAACTCAAACTTTGCCATAATTGAGTCATAGCACTCCAAGAAACAGCTCAGCATGAAAATTAACCACATTCCCTTTATTTCTGATGACACAACTAATCACTGCTGGTGGACGATTAATCACAGACACTTAGCTTTTCTGCATGCGTTCTGTATTCAGTGTGAACGAGGCTTCACGCCCTCTCTCAGTAGCGCAGCATCGTGCGGTTGTCCGGTTCAGATTTTTTTCATGTAGTTGTGGTTTAGGCTTTTTTTTTGCCATTTTCACTGATAAAAGCTGTGGGATTATTCATTTGTGAATTAATTAAGCAATACAGATCACAGTCCAATGTTTTTGTTTTGTTTTGATTTTTAAGTAAGGTTCAGCAAATGCTGTCGAATCACTGAACGCCATCATCTGGGAAATGAAATATGAACTGTTTCCAAGTACTGCTGTAATGTGCTTGCATACCACTAGGCAGGAAAAAAATATTTGTATATAGCGTCTCTCAAGATAAGCTCACAAGGCGCTTTATAAGAACGACAAAATAAAGTTCTGTTCTTCTGGGTAAAGCAGCAGTTACAGGATTGTGGAGATTTCTTTCAATCTGTGATTTTAGCAATTTTTATTTTCTATCCTGTTTAGTTTAATGAGACGTCGTTGTTTCACTAAGATTAAAGTACACTTTGCTTCAGCAATGATCTTTATGTTTCATTATTTGTTTATGTGGTGTTGAGGGCATTCGTTTTGGTGGCCAGAGGATCGGATCACTGCTTTTTGCAGATGATGTTGTCCTGTTGGCTTCATCAGAACAAGATCTCCGGCTTTTGCTGCGGTTCGCAGCCGAGTGTGAAGCAGCTGGAATGAGAATCATCTCTAAATCTGAGACCATGGTCTTAAATCAGAAAAGGGTAGAATGCCTTCTCCAGGTCACGGACGAGGTCCTGCCTCAAGTGGGGGAGTTCAAGTATCTCAAGGTCTTGTTCACGAGTGAGGGAAAGATGGACCGCGAGATCAATGGGTGGATTGGTGCTGCATCTGCAGTGATGCGGGCGTTGTACCGATCTGTCGTGGTGAAGAGAGCTGAGTCGGAAGGCAAAGCTCTCGATTTATCGATCGATCTACGTTGCTACCCTTACCTATGGTCACGGGCTTTGGGTCGAGATCTCGGATACAAGCAGCTGGAATGAGTTTTCTCCGCAGGGTGGCTGGGCTTTCCCTTAGAGATAGGGTGAGAAGCTCTGTCACCCGGGAGGGGCTCGGAGTAGATCTGCTCCTCCACATCAAGACGAGCCAGTTCAGGTGGCTCGAGCGTCTGATTAGGATAGAAAATGGATGGAAGGATATTTGTTTCTTATTGTAATAAAACTTACTTTGCTGACTGAATCCAGGACTGTTTTCTCTTAAGTTTCTAATAAAATCCCACAACACTACACACGGCTCACACGTTTCTTCTCTAGGTGGTTGTTAGACTGTATCCACTTCCTCTTAACGTTTGCTTATCAAATCACATGTTTCTGCAGACAAAGCAATACAAGCATCCATTTTTTTGACATCTGACTTAGTGGCATTACCTTGACAAAGAGACTTGTGTGTTATGCACTAGAGTTCGTTTAGTTTTGATATTATTCTGCAGTTCATCAAGCTCCTCATTTGTACAGAAAGTTTAGCTTTGTCCTCGTTTCTCTAGCAAACTCTCTCCAAGTGTCATATGCCTTACAAAAGGCTTTATGAAATGTCTTATTTTGTTGCGCTTGCATTTCTTTACCCCTTTCAGTTAGCTTGCGTTCTCTTGAGCTTGTTCTGAGAGGTTGTTTGTCCATCTTCCTCAATCAGAAAACCTTTACCTTTGGTTTAACTCCAACTCCAAGCCTGGTTCATGACAAAACTCCTTTACTCACAGTTTGTGAAGCCTTTAAGGAGGAAGAAAAAAGGGGCAATTATGGTGATTCTGCACCAAGCTGCATCCACCTCGAGCTGCTGTGTCAACAGGTCCTCCCAGAAGCTGGACGATGGTAGGCTTTCCACTGGACACTGGACAAGTTTTCACTGTAGCTGCCCCTGGCACCATAAAGAAAAGAACGGAGAGCCTCGACTGGTGCATAAGCTTTTATTCGTTTCTCTGGTCCAATTGCCTTGGACTTCACTCCATGAGTTGCACAGTGAAAACTGTTTGGAGATATACAAAGCGTAAATAAAAGGTGAACACAACTTCAATGTCATAACAGAAATAGATTATATTCTCACATTTACCTTGCTCCGCTGGCCAAGGGTGCTAAACAAAACAGTAATTCCTCAAAGCGGCTTTATCTGTAGATTTGACTAGGTGATGGACAGGAAAAACAAACAATGACTATAGTGTCAAACTAATAACTAGTGATGTTACCTGTGACACGCAGGATTCGAAGCTTGTATCACCAAAACGAACCACCGCAGAGCAAAGCACTGTGTCGGAGCTTGATTTGTTTACTGAAAGTCACGTGACCAATGAGCAACGATGCTTCATTCACCCTTCCACCCACGTGACCGCTTCACACATTGTTTCAAACATTTAAAGCAACGCAAACCGAGAGGCGCAGTTTATGGCAAGCCAAATGAGCATTTATTTTGATATCAGGATGTCAGCCAGAATTGTCATTAACATGTAAGCCATTTCTGTCCACTAGTTAACTAGTTAGCCATGTTTGTGTCAACTAGTTAAATAGTGACAGCCTATATGTCAACTAGTTAACTAGTAAGGCCTAAATTCTCTCTAGTTAACTAAAATGTTTCATATCTTACTAGTTAACTAGTATTGCTCAGTGTGTTCACTAGTTAACTAGTGTGCATTTATGTCTACCACAAGTTAACTAGTGTGCACATTTTGACCCTCACTAGTTAACTAGTGAGACAAATACCTCCAAGTAGCTGACTGGTATGCATTACTGCTTTTACTAGTTAACTAGTGAGCAGTTTTTGTGTCAACTAGTTAACTACTGAAGCCTAAATGTGTTCACTAGTTAACTAGTGCACATTTCTGCTGTCACTAGTTAACTAGTGGGCACATTTTCACCCTCGATATTTAACTAGTTGACACAAACATGGCTAACTAGTTAACTAGTGGACAGAAATGGCTTACATTTTCATGACAATTCTGGCTGATATCCTGATATCAGAATAAATGCTTATTTGGCTTGCCATTCAGGTTTGTATGACCTGAGATTGACGGTTCAGGATTCAGTATTCAGTGATAAAACACTGAGTCGCAAAAATGGATCCTGTAGCAAAAAGAGGGCGTTCTGAGATGTGGGAATGTTTCAATTTAATCTCTCCAAATAAGGTTTGAAAATGTATTTGGTCTAGTCTGGTAAATTACCTTTATAGTAGTAATACTTGATGCATATTGTAGGGCTATATCTTTTAGACCGTCTGTCATTTTCCTTTAATTAAATTAAAATCTAGTTTGGTATGATTTTTCTTCTTTTATTGGTAATTAATATAATAGTTGATGAGCTTTTCAGTTTGGTTGTACATGTAATGGAATTTAGTATGTCCTATCCTTATGTGAATTTTCTAATCTTCATTTTGTTACTCTATTTCTAAAAAAGATACATAAATTGAGCTAATTATTCCTGCCTAATAATCCAATAGAAATGTGAAAAGTAAAATATTTGAATATGTAGAGAATGTTAATATGTGTACCGTAAATCCTCTAATACAGGCCGGTATTCAATTAAAGGCAGGGTCTCCAATTTTGGCCGGTGTCGGAGTCAGCGGAGGTAAATAATGACCGGTCTCTTATTGTGGCCGGGTGGAATGTGGTGACAAGCAAGTATGAGCGTCCCAGCGGCAGGGTTATAGTCCCCAAATCAACCAGCAGGAGACAGTAGAGGTTCACGCGGACCTTTATTGGGCTTTTTCTTCAACGCTTTGTAACGCTACGGACACGATCCTCTATCACGCTCCTACCAAACAGAGTCACGGTGTCAGTTAACCATGCTAATTCAACCCCTCCACAGAACACACATCACCTTCCCTGTGGCTTACATAACACTCACACAACACGCAAATCAACACATAGGAACTAGCAGAACGATAGGAAACACATATAACACAATACCCAGAATGCACCTGGCTTACAACCCTAGCCAGGTCATTACACTATCAAGTTCAAAGAGAACGTGCTGATTATGCTGCAGAACACTCTGGGGAGCAGCAGTAGGGGGAGTATGAAATAGTCAACTTCACTATACAGTAATCCCTCGCTACTTCGCGGTTCGTTCATCGCGGATTCGCTGCTTCGCGGATTTTTTCTTTGGAGCATTTTTCAGGGGGAATTCGCAGATTCGCGGTATTTTTCACTGATTCGCGGTATTTTTCTATGCGAAATATCAAGAAATTCTTGTTTTTTTTCATCAATTTCATCATAAAATGCACTTTTTGTAATAAAACTAAAAAAAAAGAGGAAAAAATTTTTTTTTCTTGAGTTTTACCCACAAAAAGAGAATGTGATCATACGATAATTCAATAGGGAGTGTGGTTTCACAGACGCGGAAGTGATAGCGTCGGTGAAACGCCGGCTGATCTAGGAAACCCCCGAGCGTTCGAGCGTCAAAGAAGTGACACGGAAATGTCGGGCTTTCCAGAAGTAAGTAAGATAACTTACTATGATTGTTCGTTGGATTGATCGGTAGGTTGGAAACTCTGATCATGAATCTGAAGAAACGATGACTGATTGGTGAGCTGGAAAGGCGACTTCCGTTTATAGCCGCGGTTTGTGACGTAGGTGCAATGTGAAGGGAATCCCCGCGAGGGGCATGCTGGGAGTCCCTACTACGCGGATTTTCACCTATCGCGGCCAGGTCTGGAACGCATCTACCGCGATAAACGAGGGATTACTATAGTGACTTGTTATGCCTGTCACCGACTAGTCGCTGTCACGTGATAATGACCGGCAAGATGCAGCCCTCGGAAAAGACAGCAGCCTGCTGTCAGCAGGTGACAAGCTCCTGCGCTCGGGGGGGGTGGGGCAACGCGCTGTGCCAGACCGTGTACTGACACGCGATCGTTCATGTCGGTTCATTTCCTTTAATGTTTTCTGTCTTTTATTTGCGCCTGATGTGTATCGCTGCTGTGGAGCGGGGCACATCAACTTGTCCTCAGACGCACAGATCACTGATGCGCCCGGCAAGCAGGGAGAGCTCCTCTGTTTTCGCGGTCGGTAGATCTGCCTCCTGAGCACAGCCACAGTAACAATCAGGTGTCGCCACCTCAAAAACTAATTTAACACGCGATCGTTCATGTCAGTTCATTTCCTTTAATGTTTTCTGTCTTTTATTTGCGCCTGATGCGTTTCGCTGCTGTGGAGCGGGGCGCTGCGCGCATCACCTTGTCCTCCGACGCACTGATCACTTATACGGCCGCCAAACAGCAAGCGCTCCGCTGTTTTTGCGGTCGGCAGATCTTTTTGAACTGCAGTTCAAAGGTAACTCATGAGGTGAATATATATGAACCCAGGTAGCAGTTTTTCTTTAGGATTGAGAGGAGATGCAGGAAGATAATAAACAGACAGGACAGAAAAATAGTCAAATAAAAACAAGTTAGTTTTGTACCTGGTGGTTGCAACAAACAGACACCATTGAAGGTAATCAGAAGTGAGGAACAGAAAATGAAATAATTATTTTAATGTTTAGAGCAGCAGGAACTCCGAGAGGC